TCTTTCTTCTCCCTCTACCCGCAACAACAAACTCGCACCTGACAGCTTCAATTCAGGCATGCAACTCTCTCTCTCTCTCTCTCTCTCTCCCCCCTTCCCTCCCTCTCTAGAAAAACTTGAAGATACTGTTGCGATAGTATTTGCTTTGTCATGTTTTGGTTTATTTAAATAATGGGTATATGTTTAAATTGAGTAGAAAGTTATTAGCTTGGCGGATTCTTACCATTCTGCTCTATATTGTTGGTTTTTTTTATCTGTAATCAAATATACAGAATCATGTAGTCGTGTGTTCTCTGTGTTTTTATGCTTCATTTCATTTATGAATTCAGTAACACAATTTTGTCAAAGGTTGGATTTCGGGTTTTAGATGTGGAACTCGTGGATTTGGTGAACGTACAGAGGAAAATTCTTTAGGGGTTTTGGTTGAATTACAGATGAAAAAAATGTTGGCCCTTTTGTGCTGTGTTGTATACAAGTGGCTACGATGCTACCCGTTTGGTGCCATTGCATGGCTAGTATGTTGATGATAGGCTTATTTGTTGGTTGTTAAGAGCATGGGTGGGGTCTTGGATTTTATGGTCAAGGACTTTCGATTTGAATGGGAAATCTTTCAAGTATATGAATGCCTTATCCCCTCTTGTTTCACTGGGAGTCTGGGACAGGACTCATCCTTTGATGTATATGAAAAATTGTTCTGAGATAGTGTTTAGATCTATCCATGAATTTTCTATTTTCCAAGATTCTTTTGTAATACCTCAATTTGCATCTTGCAATTGAAGCTTTGCATCTGCTTTTGACATCCAGTAGTTCGAGCAAGACTTCGGACAAACTTTCTAGTCCCATGCATATGCACGAGTTTAGCTGATGGTTTTGCCAGAACCAATCTTTTCCTTCAAAGGGGTTTGATATGATGAAGTTTGGATGTTGGATGAATCCTTGCTGTTTGAATGCACCCTAAGATTCCAGCACTTTTCAAAATTGTGTGCCATGGTAGGAATAGGATTTATTGCCTCGGGTTATTTTGCTTCCCCTTTTTGGATAGATCCCTTTTAGCTTTATCTGTCTAAGGAATGTAATCATAAAGGACAATTTTTAGAATCTGTATTAGATAAGATGGTATTGTAAACAGTTCAATGATCATTTTAGTTGAGAATCGAGGCTCAGGATGTTTTCTAATTTTTTAATTTGTATCAGATAAAAGGGTGTAACATGGAGTTCATTGCTCATTTTGGTTGAGAATTGACCCTAAGGATAGTTTCCAAGTGCATTATTAGGTGATAATGACATATTGATCAAACAGACTCTATTATGGCATCTTTCTGTATCAAATTGAATTTTCCTTCTATTGATGTGGTATGTTAGTTGTCAACTTTTCTCCGTTCTGAGGGGGAAAGTGTGATAATGAAGACTTGCAACTTTGTTGCAGAGTTACATGGACTGCTATTATATGAAATTTCACCATTTTTCACCAACCAAGTAGTTCATATGCTTCATATTTCTTTGGCAAACTGAGCCTCAGGATGCCCCGTAACGCTCTTCTTGGGGAGAATTTGATGTTTATATGTAAAACTAAAATAAACAGAAGAAGTAAACCATTACAAAACTAGACCATGATTACTCTCTATTCCATGATGCATTGTGAATGTTATAGCTAGTTTGAATATTTTAAGATGAACCTGCATGTAGTTTCCTAGGCAAGTAGAATATTTTACACCAATAGGGCATGGATATAATAAAAGTTGAAGCTGACTTTAAGTTGCACATCTTGAAATGAAGCTGTTGCTTTCAATCAATCATCTCACTCGAGGTATCTTTGATATTTCTTTTTCCTCTTTTTATCTTGAAGGATCAGAATTATTGTATATCAATAATTTCATCTTGGACTTAAAGTTTTCGTCCCCACACACCCCAGAGATTTGAATGTTTTCAATATTTTTGCCTTTATGTCCTATTTCTGCATTGCCTAGCACCTGGAACTAATCAACAAAATATTCTTTGAATATTGCTTGCACTGATGGCCTTTTCTTTTGATTAAATAACGGTATGAGTGCTGAATGTTTCAGAAAATCATGATTGCTACCCTTAAGAATGTAAAATTAACCCAAAATTTTCCACTACATTCTATCATACTTTCCATTCTTCTTCTAGATCTTTAACATGCTACCATTCTTGTCTTTTTCTAGTTTTTACTATTGAATCTGAAGTTAGAACTTTTCTTTTCTTTTCTTTTTTTTGTTTGCTTGAAACCACTGTAAAGTACTTTGTAAATGACTAGAGTCTGAATCACAATATAAACAAGATTATGGCGGCATGCTTTCAACTTTTTTTTAGTTATATGATATTGTTTTAAGATTGGAAACAAACTCTTCAGTTTTATTTGGTGAATGTCAAGGCTTTGCTATATTTAAGGAATTTAGTTAGCATTAAATTATATCCACATAACTTAAAGATGTACTTGTTTCAAGTCACAGCTCTTAAACATGCATAAAGGGATAGGTGTTAAGCTCGATGTCTGTATTGTCTGGGAAAAAAATGTTTTGAATGAATTGTGAGCTTGATGGTGGTAGTTCTTGATTGCCACTGAATTCTATATATTCTGTACTTTTTCTACATCATTGATGGAGCAACGGAAAACTCTATTTGACTTTCTAATGTCCAAAAATTCAAAATGCAGTTGAGCTCAGCTACATCAAGGAGTCTGAAGAGATGCGCCTTGCCTTGCAGCCATGGAAGCTTATAAAAAGAGTATGGTGTTCGCTCTTAAATTTTAATATGCTTGTTATATGAGCGATTAAAATCCCACAGAACCACTTGAAGAACTTTTTGGAAATGAAGCTTTACCTGTACTCATGTTTTCTTACTTCCATTTTGGTTGTTAGATTATATGTCTGAAATTTGGCATGCATTTTTTCCCCATCAAGATTGAATTCTCTCTCTCTCTCTCTTGTCAGTTGTCATCGTGTATCAAACAAGCATGGGGAGGGAAATTGTGAGAACTCATGGTTTGGAATATGTTCTCTATAGAAGTTGATTCTTTTAGTGTTTGCAGATTAAAGAAATTGAACAAGAAGCCTATGCAGAACCTGAAACAGTCCAACACAAAGATATGAAGCAGACTGCTGCAGTTGATCTTTCTAAAAGATTGCAAGATATCCATTCACTTAATGATGTTTCCAGTTTTAAAGGTAATTGCTGCTTCTTTTTTTAGCTTTATGTTTTGTGCAGCTTCTTTTAAGTAGTCCGTACAAAAAAGCTTCATATCTGTGAAATGGCAATGGTCACTTTGCTGCATCAAAATAAAGAATGAACTTCCTGGAAAGAAAAGAAAAATATCTACCATCCCAGTATCATTGTGGTTTGGTCAGTTGCCTTAAATGCTTCTCTCCAAAACATATTCAGATAACATGATTTCTGTAATTTTAGGTCTAGGAAACCTGATGTCCCTGGCTTCATAATTTTTACAGTATTGATAGATAATATATTTGTTTATACAGTGCCTCAGAACTTTTATGTTTTGACAACTGTACGTTTGTTCGTAAGGTGAATGTTGTTGGTTATATTATCATGTTGATCCTGATGACGTTAAATGTCAACTCAGCTTTGGAGGAATGGCGTAAACGGAAGATGGAACGAGCCAGACAGCGGGCTGTGGGAAAAAATGGAGCCGGGAACTCCCAAGCTTGACGCCCAAGAAATGCGTGTCCAAGGGGATTTGTGAAGCATCAATCATGCTACTATGAACTCTCTTTAAAATTGCATACATGTACATATAGAAAACTGAATGTTACACGAATCTCGAGTACTTCTGTGATGGCGAAGTTAGGTGCTCACCAATGGTAACAGCTGCTCACCAATGGTAACAGCTAGCAACGAACAACATCGTTTTAGTGGTAGTGTATAGAGCTGAAGATCATCAATTCCTGCGAAAGGATTTAACCTTTCCAAAGAACAACCTAAAAACGGAAGCGCTTAATATTAGAATTACGTGAATTTCAATAAGTTTTCTCACCAATGTTTTTTATAATTACTGTTTCTGTCTGCGAGATGGGATACATGTCAGCTTTCTCATTTACGTAAATAACAGATGAGGTGATGATGCTGTGGAAGGTGATTCTGGATGCGAAAAAGTTTCAACAGACCTTTCAGTTGACAGTGAGGTTGTATCTATTCCTTGGCAGCTTTTTGCCACCATATACCATGTATTGGTTTACTTTCAAGACAACTCTGGCAACAGAAACATAAACTAATGCACACCATGTTTTCAACATTCATTTCAAAGCTCCAAATACATGCACATACGAACCTACCCCAACGTTGTCCCCAAAAGATGCGCACATATGAACCTGCTCCATGCTGCGGTGCTGTGGCAGTACGAATTTCAACTAATTCACCAACAGTGTATATACTATTCACCTGAGGGGAGTATCTGCGGAATGCCAACCAAGCACAACGTGCAGAAATATCTAGTGCTTAGCTACCAATCAGCACTTAAATCCAACTCCTAATTTCACTAAGAAATACAATCTAAGGTATTAAGAATAAATTAGTTGGCTATCTTTGATGCAACAAGATTTTCTTTACAAGCTTGTACAGTTAGAACTTTGTATATACAAGGTACAATAAGTTCATTCGGTCATCATACAAGCAACAAGCTTACAAAATCCTATGCAACTTGCCTCGAGGAATTAGGGTACAAGATTTCATCCTAGAGATCCAGTCAACCAGAGTCAAAATGCCAGTAATGGCAGCATCCACATTTTAGCTGAGAAAATTGTCAGTTCCAACATCTTGTTTCACCTTTTTACCACCTGCGAAGCCATAATAATATGAAATCAAGGGGAAAACACAGAAAGGTCATGTCAGCACAGGTGACAGGTGGATGTTACTTGTAATCCAGTACTCTGTAACATCAACTCTCAAGGAAAAAAAAGATGACAACCACAAAATTGAAGACATTGGTCAAAACCGTGGAGGATCCATTTTCAGACTCCCACCTGCAGGAAGGTAATGAAAATGAGCATATATTTCTTTTTTTATGATTAATATTGGGAGATATGAGAATGAAGAAGAAAAGAAGGCTGCAAAAGAATTAAACTGCATTGCAAAAAGTTAGCATTTGATAAGAAATTAACACTCACATTCCTAAGCATGCTATACAATTTAATTCTTTTGCAGAAACATGACATCATGGCTACTATACAAACCAAGCCACTAATAACTTCAAAACCAAACCATTTTCAGCCCTATTTGCATCCAATGGTTGAAATCCCGGATTACCTGAAAACTACATCTCATTGGGATAGAGGTTGAGGTGTTTCAATAACCAGGACAACCACCCCATTGTACAGCTTAAGGTTCCATATTCGCCCCCAAAAGGAAAAATAGAAGAATCAAGCTCAATGTTATCAGACTAGTCAAGCACCAAACAGCATATAATCAAAAATCAACCCCCCCAAAATAAATAAAAGGACGAAAACAAAGCCAACATATAATTTCTTCATTATGCTTGCAAGATTATGTTCACAAAACAGCACTACTCTGAAAACTCAAGTGCTCATCTTTTTTAGCTGAACAAGATAATTTCTCCATAGAAATTATTTGACATGAACCCTTAAAATTGCAAAAAACAGTGTTAAGTCAGTTAAGCAGGTTGCCAGCCAGCATTTACACCGCTCACATGAACACTCATAAAAGTTTAGATGTTGCTGTGCTTAAATGAAATGTGACCTAAGATCACCAATCCATATTCTTCCATTTGAAACTTTCTAGACAAAAATAATATTAAATTTAAGAGCTCGGGAGAAATATCTCACCATGTCTTCAAGAAATGAATTTCCATCAGCCACTCCAGGCAGCATTGCATATAGGTATTTATGTATAGAAATCAATGCTTGACAAGTCCCCCAAACCCAAAAGTTGATAGCTTCCGCTATCAATTTAAGAGATTAAAAATGTATTACATGACAAATGAGTTGATGGAAGTAAGTAAAATAATTAGCAGGACAGCAAAGCACTTGTCACGAAAGTGACATCACTAATCACATTAATAAGTTTTATTTTTTTTTAGTAATAATTTTATAAATAAACAAGTCACTGATGACCTACAACAGCACTAATACATCATAATTCCTTGTACAGGTATTTGGGTGTTCATTTAATGGAGTTAGAGCACAAGTTCTTCTACAAGATATCATTTTGAGCCTTGCAACAATTTAGTTGGATGTTTTTTTCCCTTTTCTTGCTTTAGATGCATAGCTGAATGGTTATCTTATTTAATTCTATCCTTTCAGAATTTTCTTCTCTGGTGTTTCTCAATCATTTTCTTCTTTCCACGTTATTTAGTCATGATTCTGCACATTGGTTAGGTTACAAGCTATTGAAATCTTGATGCTGTACAGAAATGGAATAGGAAGTTGCTTGGAAGTCCTATTGTACTAAATTCTATACTGCAGCAATAACTATCATTTGCTAATAACTATTTTAAGGGACACATGGAAAGCCAAAATAAGAAATGGTACCTGAGATGTACGTGTATATTTAAACTTTAATGGATTGCGAGCAGAGATGCTTAAAAGGGAAAGGGGATGCCTTAAAAAATAATAAGCTATAGAGAAACTAAATGATTGGTCAATTATGAATAGGCTGCAAACATTCAATTTTTATTATTTACACAGCCCTCCAATGGTCCAACTTTTCATTGACAGCAATCAAGTTTTGTCCAATTGTTATCAGTTATACAAATGGCAAATTCCCATATGTAGCCATTAGTACATATGGGATGATAAGATTTAATAAGGTTTTGTTTAACTAAACCTGTCATAAGATCAAGGAAGCATGTTGACAAGATGGCTCAGAGGAAGTATCATTGCATTTGAATGAAATTAAGACCCTTCTTATTGACAAGAGTGGAATTTCAGCCAACATTATCTAGAATCTCAATTGCGAATATGGCATAAGCATATGGTAGTAGAGCTACAACTTTAAAAAGGCATTTAAGGTTTTCTTGATAGTATCTGTTTTAGAAGAAAACAGATTAATCACAAAGAAGCGGTATCAAAAAGATAAGGAGGGTTAAGACCAGGTCTCAGAAACAATTGAGAAACACTAGACAAATCAAGATCAAACTATTAAGATGTATGAGAAAAGCATCATGCATAATCTTTTAAGTAGCAAGACACTGTTGAATTGGTTCTAATGTACATGCATTGAAGTGCCAAAGTGAACATGAAATCTAGAACTTAGATACCCAACTGACAAAAACTGGAATCCAGAGACCATGCTGCAGACTACTCCAAACATAGAAAACTTGGTATGTAAGCTTAGCTTTGCAGGAAAAAAACACATTAAAGGTCAAAAGAAACCATGTTCGGTTCCAAGAAACCAAAAGTTGATGAGATGAAGACATCCTAGAATGAACGTCAAAGAAGGCTTACCCTAATAAAAGAAAGCCAGTATGATTATTTATAGCAATAGTGAGATACTAATTTAATCATTGCTGACACAACTTTTTAATGAAAGAGAGGGACAAAAAAGAACAGGATTTGAGTTGTTCTAACTGCAAGAAAAGACACAAAAATGCATAACAAAAGATCTGCGAGAATATGGTGTGGTAAGGCAAGGAATACGACACGCAATAAACACAAACTCATTTGAATCAGCAAATTGCAAAAGGAACAAAAAAACTAACCCAACAGCTGACACAGTTGATACTGCAAACTACCAGAACTACAAAAAATATATCCTGTTATAACAATGCACAAACAAAATCAGATGCACTAATATGTGTTCAGGGTAGATCTAGAGCTGCAAACAGTAGATAATTAAATTTACCTTAGCACATCATGTCCTCGGAACACGGTGATACAACACACAAAAAAGTTGCACATCCTCTTTAAGTTTAATCAGTTGCAGATAGCAAGCTTCCCCGTCCACTCATCAGCCACCCCATAATCAAGGCTTAGTTCCCTTAAAGGTGGGATATTCTCCATTGCAAAAAGCATGATGTGAGGGAACATCAAATTATTGTGATCATACAACACAAACTGCACAAGCACGTTTGGAGTTGAACTATGGCTCATATAACAAGCAACATTCCTCATTTTTGACACATCCATTGCAAAATCCAATGGTGGAATCTCAGGGTATGATGGACGGATGTAATTTGGATAGATCTGAGACAAATCCCCCCATTCTGCCCATTTAGCAGAAAACCGATTTGGATAAACCAACCCACCACCGTTCATGGTGAAAATCTGGGCTTGCTCTCTAGTGATGACAACCCCTGCATACTCGCATATAAAAGCACCAGCATGGATCAAATCCAACGACCTAACTCCCCAGCCAGTTTCCATTGACCTAAACACTTCCAATCTGTTTCTCAATCCCCTTTGAGTCACCCTATTTCGACAGGTTGGCGGACACTTGCAAGAAACCCCACATTCAAATACCACTGGCTTCCCTCTCAACAAAAACCCATTATCATCAAATGCAAACTCACCTCCGTTCTTCCTCTCACAAAAACAACCATCACTGCATCCTGAAACACAATCACATCCAGTTCCATTGCTTCCATTAGTAATAACAAAGACAGGAAACACGGTGCGTTCAAGATACTGATAACACAAAGGATCGTGATCATTATCAATATCATTGAACAAAAAAATCGGCATGTTCTCCTTCTTATTTGAAATATCAAGACTTAAATACCCTCTAGGCCTCACACTCAATGGCTTAGTCCTCAAAGTCTCCGCAAACTTCAAGATCGAACTACCCATTTCTGGTTGGCCATCTATCCTCAGTAGCTTATACTTATAAACACCAAACCCTGATTTCCCAACATCAAACCAGCAATCAAGAATCTTATACAACCCATCATAGACATAAACCTTACTACTAACACTGCCTGCATGTTTAATCCCTCTAATCACTCTTACCTCAATCCCATAATGCATACTCCTCTCCATCGCCAAATTCCCACCTTCCAGCTTCTGGTGCTCACATTGCTTGTTCAAGCTGTCCTGCCCGCCATGTCCGGTGTAAATAATCACATCTCCAGAATCCTCATCGTCCTCATAACCACCTGAAACAATAATGCTAGTAGCAATAGGCTCCCTATTCAAGCTCTGGCTAGCAGGAAGATAATCAATTCCAGCCTGAGGTTGTCCGTGCAATCCAACAACACACAGTTCCATTCTAAAAAAGAAAACATCCCCAATTTGAACACCAGGAATGGACCCCACAATCCGCTTGTCCCGATTGAGCCAAAGCCCACAATCCCTCATTGTAGCGGCAGCACGTAGATCTCCGCGCGCGCGCCGTCCTAGGCGTTCTCCCCGTCGCTTTTCCTCCTCCAAGACAGAGAAAATCCGAAGGGAGTCATAGATCATTCGTGTCCGGCGGACCAAGTCACGAAAATACCTCTGGTCCTCGAGTCCGAGGTCTGTTACACGCACCAGCTCAGAAGACCGCTTCTGGTACTTCGGCCGCTGGGAAACCACGACAGATGAGAGGGCATTGTTATCACCTTCTTTAACAGGGACGATAGCGCGGGAATCTGGGTCCGAAACGACTGAAACGTCACCATATTGATCCTGCAAGCGTTTGGCAAAAGCTGTGCGAAAGAGCTCGGAGATTCGGTTGTATTCGGAATAGAGATTATTGGAATTGTCGTCCTCGGAGGAGGTGGACTGGGAGAGGGGAGGGGTTAATTGGGAATTAGAGAAACAATTTGGTGTAGAACTGCTAAAGAAGAGATCCTGGGAGCTGCTGGTGGGGTCTTGCGGTTGTTGTGGTTGGTAAATTGGGGTTTCAACATCAAATGGTTCAAGTTTAGGTTCGACTTTTGGGACTAACAAAGCTGCGGCTGCCTTCTTCGTGGACCCAGCGGTGGCTATGATGGTGGAGCTGGTGGATGCGGCGGCGGTTAAGGATGAGGATGGAGATGGGGGGACAAGGTTGAGGTCTTGGAGCCAAGAACCCATATTTAGAGAGAAAGTGGGGGTCCAAAAGCATGGAAAATGGGGTTTCGTTAGGGTTTTTTCATGGATTCAAGTGAGGGAGTTGAAAGCGCTTCCAGTTGAAGGAGTTGCTGCCATGGCAGTGGCAAGGAGGAAAAGAGCAGCGAAAGACTTGTTTAGACAGTACAGACAAATATAAGAAGGGTGGCAGGGGCTTGGGTTACAAAAATTGTCTTCGTCCGTTTGCTCTCTCTTATTTCGTGAGTTCCGTGCACACGTGTATGGTGGAGATCTGATTAGAAAACAGGTACGGTGACCAACGTGTCAGAAAATACGAGGAATAAGAAAAAAATGGAATTTCGGTAAAAAAAATTCAAAATAATTTTTTATGTTTTTTAAAATATATTAGTATTAAAAATATTATTTTAATATAATTATATATAAGAAAAATCTTAAAAAACAATTTATATCATGTATCTAAACAACCCATACTAAAATGCTTTTGAAAGATTCATCAACTAAACATATTTTTTTTTTTTTTAATGGATCAATTTTTTTCACAAGTTATGAATTTTTATTAACAAAAAAACTCATAAAAATTGATGGTATAAAATTAAAATATAATAGGTAAGGAATTTTTTTATTAGAAGATGCTTTTAAATTATTTTTTATATAAAAATATTAAATTAATATTTTTCACGTGAATTATTTTAATTTTAGTATGATTATATCAAGTTTAATTAAAAAATAAAAAAATATATTATTTTAATATATTTTTATACATGGATAGAATAAACTATTTTTGTTACGTGTCGAATAAAAAGTTTCCCAGTACTTATACAGGATAATTTATATCTATATTGTCCAATGAAATATATTTAACCGTTTATTTTTAAATTACCCATGTCCATCTCCTATAATTCAAAATATTATTCACTCTTTTGTACCTCGAATTTCTTCTCAGAATATTTTATCTATAAGAAAATATAAATATTAATTTATTAAAAAATAATTATTTCAAATAATTATTTAAAAATAAATTAAAAATTATGGTACATAGTTTATTTTAGAAGAGACATGTTGAGAGAAAAGTATCCTGATACTCCCGACATTTTGAGCACAGCAACACTTTGTCACCATTTTTTGACAAACAAGTTTAGTTTGTAAAAAGGTTTGAAAATATTATAAAAAATATTTTTTTATTATTTATAAAGATGGCAGTTTATTGTAGTTGCTATTATTTTCTAAAATATTTCATATTAAAATAATATTTTTATTTTTAAAAATATATATTTTAATATTAGCATATTAAAATGATATAAAAACATAAAAAATATTTAATTTAAAGTAAAAAAATCAAAATTTTTAAATTTTTTTGAAGTTTTGTTTTGCTTATAATTATTTTATTATTATTTTAAATCGTTCTATGTTTTAATAAAAAAAAAATTAAAAATAAAAAATTATTTTATTTTAATATATTAAAAAAAACGATCTCGATATCATGACATTAAAAATAGACAATCTCTCGAGTTATATTAAAATAAAAAATAAAAATAAAAAGTTATTCGCAGCAGCATGGGTGGAGAGCGGAGACAAGGGGGGTGTGAGGGGAGGTCTTGGCTCCCACAAGCCCTCCAGGATCTGTGCATGTTGCACCAAAACAATATTTTTTATTTAGAAATTGGCAGTTTTGTAATCTTGCCAAAATTCCTTTTATTTTTTACACACCTGCAACTTGTGTTTTTTATTTATTTTTTAAATTATGATTATCTAAGTCACCTGACTAATATATAATTCAAAAATATTTACCATTAAAATCTGAATATTTATAAAAAATATCTGTTGATTCGGAATTTTCAGTCAATTCTATATTTATATTTGAGTTAGAAAATAAAGTGATAAGATTAAAATTAAAGATATAATATCCTCTTAATTGATTCTTTACCATTTCACTATTTCAATATTTGGTAATAATCAAGTGGTTATATATTACTTTTTATTAATCATCATTATACTTTTTTATCAATCAATCCAATCAATGTCTCCTAAACATAATTAACCCAGTTAAATTTATTATATTAAATGAATTTATTATACTGATTTTGATGAATTACGAAAGCCATGTATAAAAGTTCAATGTATTTATTGCTACCATCAAGTTAATAAAAAATATAACTCATTTTATTTTATTTTATTCTTTTTCAATTTTTTTACTGTGATATTTTTTTATATATAAATATGAGTTTTGAACTTGACATTTCTCAGGTTTTTTATTTTATGTAGAATATTTTTTAAAATATAAAATACATTTTAATCATAAAAATAGATAAATCCATACAATATGTGACTTGATGGAACTATTTAATATAAATAACAAGCTCATATTTATTATTTTATCAATTGTTTTAAGAGGTTATTGGAAAAAAGATTTTATGAATGAAAAAGGATACGGTAGAAATTAAATTTTATAATATTTCTATTTATAAATATATCAAAATAATATACTTTTTATTTTTTTAAATTTATTATTAACATTACTATATTAAAATAATTTTAAAATATTTAAAAATTCAATTTTTGGATAAACAGTGTTTTGATCTAACCGCAACGTCAAATACGATGGAAGAGGGTAGTTGAAAAGTGAAGGATATCCACTGTTTCGGACAAGATGTCTCTCTCACACGCGCGCGCGCACTTCAAACCATTGAAATTCTCCACTATTTTTCAGGTGTAGATGGGGACGGCTACTCCCCTCTTGTGTTTCCTCTGTGTTCGAACAGCCTTTACGCTAATCATGTATGTGTGTTGTATTATATAACCGTTTTTATTTAAAAGTTTAGATTTTTATATGAAAAATTATATTTTAATTTAAAATTTTTAATTTTTAAGGAAAATTTTAAAATATTATTTTATATTATTTTTGGACTTCAAACTTATATAAATTTACACTATTTTATACTTAATTTTATTTAAAATAAGGATATTGAGTTTAAAATTCATGATTATTTAATTATCAAAACTTTAATATCATATTTAAAATCATCAAACTATAAAAATTATTTAATTTTTAATTTTAAGATTCATGATATGATTATATATATTATTCTTGTAACATGTTAACATGTTGGCAGCTGTTCTCACCTATTCCTTTCACTATTAATCTCTGATCAGCCTGACCATCTGTTAATTTAATCCAGGCTCCTTAGTACTTAGTTGTAGATATTAAATCTTTTTGGCTAAACAAAAAAATAATTGCCAGGTTTTGGGGGGGGGTGCAGCAACAGGATTCTTTCTGACCTTTGCAATATTAGCTTCTGTTGTTGGCATAGCATCAAAATTGTCAGGAGGTGCCCACATCAGGGCATGGAGGAATGATAGTCCAGCTGCTGCAGGATCAGCTGGTTGCTTGGAGCATCACTGCCCTAGCTTTTGGGTAAATTAACTAGACATCCTAACACAAATCTACTTTGTAGAGACCAATGAATTAATCAACTGATATTTTTTTCTTCAATTTCTTGCTTAAAGGTTTGCATGCAAGGAGATAAACGTAGGAGGCAACAGAGGTTGGAGACTGAGGAGAGTAGAGGCATTTATGATCATATTGACATTTACACAGCTTCTGCACTTCTTGTTGCTTCACGCCGGGGTGTTTAGCAGCAAGTATGGCCCGGGATATCGTGACACTGGCTATGGTGTGGGGGCTGGTACTGGTGAACCTATACATAAGGGCAGTGCTGTTCCGGCAGCCAGCACTATGGTTTAATTTGAATTAACTAAACGGGTATGTGTAGAATAGTCTCTGGTTATTTTCATTTCCACAGCAGGGACTATTAATCAGAAGAAAAGAACTCCATGAATGTCTCTCCATCACAAACCAATTGCAGTTGGTTCTGTAGATTAGCCACCCCCACTAAATCCACTTTGAACCAACATTATCAACTGCTGTAATGGTTTTGGTCTACCTCTCCCCTAATCTCTCCCAAGTTTTAATTTTAATTACCTCTCCTCATCAGCATTACAGTCTAAGTACATAGCTATAGAACACACAAGAACATACGCAGCTGAAAGAACATTCTATCTAGGATGGCCATCAGGTATCAGCAAGGCAGATTTTCAGTATGGCAATTAAACATTCAGTCTCAAAACTGGCCAACTTATTTAAGCTTCAGGCTCAAAATAATTTGGGTTAGCTAAATTAACCCTCATTTTACATTCTATTCTGCGCATTCCATTCGGTTTGTTATTTAAGCTACGACTACATACTAGTAATACCAACAATATTTAATGAAGGAACCATAGAAGCACATGAAAAATGGGGCAGAGATCAGGGGGCACTCTATGAACAGAAATTCCTCTACAAAATAATGCTCATTTTGATACGAAATCATGCTTGAAACAATGCTACAAAAAGTATGAGAGAAAAAAGGAAAAAATGGGGCAGAAAAGGAGCAGGAGACTAGCACGACATTAGAAACTTTTGAGTTGAGGCACCTCAAGTTAAACCTTCATTGATATAACCGTCCTTGCAACCTTCAAACCCTGGCCTCGTCTTCTTCTGTTCAGTTCTGTCAGCTATATTCCTCGATCTTTTTTGCTGTTTCTCAGCTTTCATTTTCAGCTGGGTTTCAACCCTTTCCTTCCACTTCTCAGTATTCTTTTGATGCTTCTTGCTATCCTTCTTTAAGATCTGTTTCAGAAACTTTGGATCATCATGAACTTTAATTCCTGCAGCTCTACTTGTTGCTGCTTCCCATGAATGCTACTTTGAGACTAGGCCCCCTTTATCTGGGTCTTTCTTTGCTTCTTCCAATTCTTTTGCTTTTTCAAGCTCCTTTAACTTTGAAACCCTCCTCCTCTTCTTCTTCCCGTGTTCCTCTTCATTCCCCATTTTAACATGACTGAACTTGAGCTCCTTTGTAGCTTCTTCTGCATCCTTCTCCACCCTTACCAATGAAGTACTCACGCCAGGCCTCTTTTCTTCAGACCCAGATTCCCTCTTGCTTTTCTTTTGCAGAATCAATTTCATCTCCCTCCTCTTCTTTGATCTCTCTGAGCTACCACAATCTCTACCTCCTCGAAGCTCTTCAATTTTACGATGAAGTCGTTGCGGAGTTCTTCATACGTGACTGATTGGTCATCATTTTCTAAACCAGACACCATTGGATTAACTCCACTTCTTCACCTTTACTCTCGCTGTTTGAT